AATACGTCTATCATAATTAATGAGACCATAGCTGGTCATACAGTACAAGAGTACCCAGTGTGTCTTTATAAATAATTGAAAACCGCTCATGTCACAAGGGCCATAAAAACCCTTAAACATATTTAAATATTCTATTCGGGAATAAAAACACATCTTCCATCTATATTAATAAATTGATTGGCAAGAGTATGAAGTGACAGTGTTCCTGGATCTATTTTTGATTCCCTGCTCTGGCACAGTGATATATACAGTCACATTTTAGTGCCACATTTAATGTTATGTTTTTTTTTCAATCTGTTAAATTTAGCAAAAAAACAGCAACTGTGGATTAATATTTGCAGAAATATTAAGTTTGTCCGCTGCAGAGGTTGTGTTAAGTTTTCACTTAGAAAATCAACAAAACGTAATTTGGTCAGCGGTGCCCAAACTTTTGCATAAAACTGTACACTGTGTGGTACCTGTAATGATCACAAAGAAGACATTACGGGAAGTCAGACAGGAACAGGTGAATCCCATTCCAGGAATAAGACAGCTTGCGGCATCTTTGATATTTTTTCCTCTTTAAGACTAAACATACTGTACCAGTAGTGATTCTACAGTAGCTGTCAACAGGTTACTGATAAGAAAAGCCTCTGGGTCTCAGGTTTCGTTTCATGTTTTTCGGCTTCGAGCTTATCCAACTCAGCAATGCTTGCAACCTTCAAACAGAAAGAGAGATTGACACGGATCTCTTGTGGGGTGGAAATTTCTGAGGAATTTGAAGAAATACTTGTTTTTTTTTTTACCTGATGACTGTAACTATACTCCCTTTACACACAAAGGACCATAGACTTGTATGTATTTTCAACTTACACCAACTACCTGATTTTTAAGCAGACCTTGAGAAGAATAAGAAATCTTGGTAAAGTGAAGTAAAGTTGAGGTTTCGCTTCATGAGAAGCTGTGCAAATTTCCTCTTCCGCTGAGATTCATTTTGGGGGTTTATCAAAGACAATTGACATGCTCCACTTCCAGAGTTAGAGAGCAAGGGATTTTTGCCAGTGTCTACTGCTGTTATCTTGGTCAATAGGTGCCATTGTTGGAAAGTGTCAGTAGTGCATGATATTATCAGAGTTGGCCAACTTGGTGAGAATATTGAACAAGATAGGATAAGGGTGGCACACAGGGAGGGCATTCTGGGTTTGTCTGCTGGAGAAGTGCACCTAGCCCCACGATATTAAACATTTTTGCCTTGTGACAGTGAAGTGTAAGGGCTTATCGAGATTCCCCTGCCGAAAAAACTCAAGAGTTTTGCAATTCGTGATTTATTTTATATTTCGTTTTTATGGCTTAATCATTGATGATCTGTTTGCTCAGCCAGGCAAAGCCAGTTTTGGAAAAATGCCGATGAAGGGTTATTAAATGGTTAGCCCAATTCTTACCAAGAGGAGACTGTGTGTTGAAGTGGAACAGAAGAGCTCTAGATGAAGGTGATCTGTCCCCTGAAAGATTTTCGCTCAATCCAATATCTCTCTCAACAGCTGTGTTTTGCACTGGGATTCTGTTTTCAAGCTCAGGTTCCCACTCAGTCATGTGCTTCTTGTCTCTCCAATCAACAGGTCCTTTTGTTTTGAAGCTCATCATTCACCGTCATAATAGGAACAGCCCGCTTTGATCTTCTCACATGGGTAGCGCATTTCACAACATCTCACTTTGTGGGCGTATCTTCTCTGTGAGGGTTCAAGGCTAAAGGGCAGAGAACTCCAAAAATGAATGATGATGCAAATCAGAGCCTGAAAAATAGCAAATGAGTCGTCTTTCCCCACGTAGTCCATTGTTTGCATTTCAGTGCTCCCTGCCAGCTGTGTTATCCTAGCAGTCAGCTGTTATTGCCACACTGAAAAGCTGCCCAGAGCAGGGGTGTGCTTCAGCCTTGAACAGTGGTCTCCAATGCTGAGTCAGGACAGCCCATTCTACCGACTGAAGATTAGACCAAACCCTATAAAAGCAACATTAGCTTCAATTAAAATTCTGGCTTGACTACAAGCTGGGCTTTGCTTATACACACATTTGGACTGCCATAGACGTAGAAGTAGGCTGACAAGTTTGTGATGTGAAGCATCGCCATTACATAAGCTCGGAGCCTGAAGCCTCTTGGAATGTGTATTATCCCAGGCTGGAAAGAGTAATGAGTCCTGTCATTCGCACGAATACAAGCTGATGTGCTCTCAGTTTCCTATTGAGCTGTCAGAAACCATCACATTTAACTTTAAAATAAAAATGTTTATCTATTCTGTTACGGTTCGAATTTCTGACTTGGAAAAAGATCTACTGTGCCACGTGTTGCATGAACTGTAAATCTCTATTTGCAGGCCAAAGGATTGTCCAAGGCACCACCAGACATCCTGCTTAATCCTGTTTTTAATAGTCTCTCCTTCACATATTGTGCTTTCCAGGCGATTGCTGCTTTATACATATATGTAATAATTTCATGAACTGCAGAGTCAAGTGATCTGTATTTGGAAACATTAAAGAAAAACTACAATAATAAAGTACTTTCTCGCATTTTTTTAACTCCTTTTATTCCAGAGGAGACCAAAGAGCTCTTACACATAGGAGGAAGACCCACATGAGTGTTGCACAGCAGAGCATGGGAGAAGATAGAAACCCTAGAATTCAGGAGAATCTTTAAATAGGCAGGATTGTGCAGAGTGCAATTAACCAGGACACCAAGGCTAGCTGACTCTTCTACTCCTATTTACAGTGCCATGGGACCTTTAATGACCTAGTAGTAAATTACTTCACTTTCCCCTTGTTAAATTACTTCACAATTCACTTGTTTCTACATACGGAACTTTAGATCAATGAACCAAATCACCTCCCTTTGGTTTGATTTTAAAATTGTTTTTAAAGATTACTAGTTGGGCCTAGACAGATGTCTTGGGTGAGGGTATTGAACTGCTGTGTATTACTATGGTCAATAGTGTTATTTCATTATCTCTGCATAGGCTGTGGGAAGTGAGGCTGTATGGACTCATTGTACTTGAACAAAGGGATCGGAGCTGTTCTCAGCACCAAGCAAAACAAAACAAAATACCTTCTTTACAAGAAGCAGTCTTGGAGCTGGAATGGAGCAGATGAAGTTTAGCAGGGCTGTCAGCATTCCAGCCTGGGTGACTAACTCTGCCTGCCTGCTGGGAGTAACACAACTTAATCAGTCCCCTGGGCACAGCCAGAGATCCCCGGGCTACGATTGGTCAGGCCTCCAGCACACAGTCCAATGAGAAAAGACCAGAACCACCCACAGGCAAACAAACCCCCCTGGTATGAGTGGTCTATTTGTCAGACTTCTAGGTTACATTCTGCACACTGTAGAAAACACTGTGACACATTGCTACCTTCCTAGGGCAACGTTAGGGCAGCGACTCACTCAGGAGCTCAAGCCAACTTGAAAAAAGGAGAGTGCGCATCACAGATTACTGCTTATAATCCTTGCGCCCTGTCATATTGATGGCTGCTCTGTATTGCTCCTGCTCACAGACATTAATCAACAGCATTGCTTTGAAGGAATTGTTTACATTTTTTGGAGCACATTGTGCCCTCAGGAGTTAATCACTTAAGTTACTTGGTGACAGTTGGCCCTTTGTGAATTTCTTCAGTTTATCATGCAGAAAGGCAACGTTTACTGAGCATCGCGTTAGCACTGTGCCTTTGAAAATGCTTTAATTTTCCAGTGTGTGAGCTGCAGTAGACACGTCCTGAATTTAAATATCTCAAACCACAGTGAACTTGAGAAAGAAGGCATATTTGTCATAGGAGATAGAGCAGGTGCAGTAAAGCAAAATTCAGGTGCATCTTTATTGCTCAGAAAAGTCCAGTCTAGTTAAAAGTCTCATTTTTCCCCACGGGCAGATTGGGTTTGCTCAGAAATAATGTCGTGCTAGACCATGTACAAAAGTTTACTTTGTGCGTGTATCTGTGCTGACATGTCATGGACCTGTCAGAAATTATTATTAAAGGTAAGAGTGAGGTACGCAAAGCAACATGCAGTGTAACATAAAGACCGTAAAAGCAGTAACAAATAGGAGGAGGCCAATGGGCCCATTGAGCTTGATTGCTACTAATCTAATTGATCCATGGATCTCATTCAGCTGGTTCTTGAAAGTCATAGTAAGTGAACTGCTGTACATTATCAGGGTATTGGCTTCAACAGCATGGCTGGGCAACTTGTCCCAAACCCCCACAACCTTTTGTGTAAAAAAGTACTTTCTGTAGTCTTTTTTAAATGCACCTCCACGTAATTTCCACTTGTGATCTCTGGGCCTTGTTTCACTGGCTTGGTTTTGTCAGTCATTTAAGAATGGTGTGATAGTGTGCCTGTATCAGCTCCATGCAAAGTGTTCTTTGTTCAAGATTAAAAAGGCCCAGTTCCTTCGGACTGTCTGAATAGGACTTTCATTGGAGCCCCGTAATGTGTCTGAACGTTCTTCACAACAGCAATATCTTTTCTATAAAAATACTAACATGATGAAATAACAAGGGTTCAGATTACTGTTATCAGTAGCATGACTGAATATCCAACAGTTTTAAATGACTGCTTCTTCCTTAAGGTTCAACAAGGTTGAAGTGGCTGATAAAATCTTTGTATGAGAATAAAAAAGACTGTTGATACAGGGTCTTTCCATACTTGTTTGTTAAAGAAACAGCAGAAATAGTTTTACAGTTTAGAAAAAAAAAGTAAACATTTATGAATATGAAGAAAATCCACCACCCAAGGGATTTATGAAAATCTCTAAACAACTAGCTTGTTTTACCAAAACAAAAGTTTAAAAACAAACAAATGTAGAACAGTGTTAACCCTTCCATGCACTCGCTGGAAAACTGGACATGAAGTAAAATCTGGAAGTCTAATTGACCAAAGGCTTCTGCCAACAGTGAACCACAATGATTGCTCACTCATTATTTTTGCCAGTTTCGTTTATTGTTTACAAAACATTGACATTTATTCATCCATAGAAAAAAGAAAATCATTGACAAATAATAATTTGCAACACCCAGACTAAACTGCGATTTTGAAAAGCAATGAGTTTGGATATATACAGTAAAGTACATTTTTATCAATCATGAAAACACACCAAAAATACCAAAATAAATTTACCCATTCATTGACATTTGTGTTCCTTATTTGACATTTGGTCATAGAATATGCAGCTGCAACTTTGTAGAGTTAGTTACAATTTAATTGATTAAGCCATCAAGAAGCATTTAAAGTTTTCCATCTTACAATTTCCATCTAGATCTACACCATTTTTAATAGTGAAGCCAGTAGTGAAGAAAGAATAGTGAAGAACATTTCAAAGTATTTTATTTCTAACCTCTTCCAATTTGGAATCAATAGCTGTGTCAGTCCTGCAACCTCTGGGGAAATAAGAACGCTATACGCTCTCCTCCAACACACTTGTCATTGAGCATTCATCATTTTCATCAGGTACTGTGAGATTTACAGTACCTGGGGCATTCATAATGAATGAAGGAAAAATTAACCAGAGCTTGCAAGCGTAAACGTTTTGGAAATGTATTAAAAACCGAGAACACTTCCTTACCCAAAGGGTTGTGGGAGAATGAAACAAGCTATGTTGGAGAAGGAGGAATTGGTTATACAGAGCAATAGGTTCCACAGAGCATTTCCTCTCATCTTCAGAGATGTCCAGGCAAATAGCAGGCTTGGTAATTAATTGATCAGAGGATCCCATCCAACTGTTTCTCGAAAGAAGACAGCTTCAGCAACATGGCTGGGTATGTTGTTCCAGATGTCTACAACCCTTTTAATAAAGAGATTCCTCTTGTCCTGACAGGAGGATCTCATCTAGCTATATCTTGCAATGAACCAGGATATTGCCTTAAACAACAGGTCTCCTACAGCCCTTTGAGGATTGTAAATGCAGGAATTTAGTCCCACCATAGCATTCAGGTTAAGCTTTAATGTTCAGCTTCATTGCCTCTTTAGGTCAACAACAGAGAAGATTGTGATGGACCTGATTCGAGTAATGACAGATTGAATTAATATCTCTCGTCTGTTGACACACTAAGAAGACTCCAGTCAAAATGTTGTTTTCTTTCTTCTCTTTTCATGGAATAAACCTATTACTTGTTCCTTTTATGAAATCATTACCTACCTTTTATCAATGACACAGATGCAGAATGAGCTGGGTTACTAAAATAACAGTACTGTACTGAAATTTAAGAAAAACTACTGTATTGCAGGCAGTTTCCCGTTTCTCAAATTCAAATTGACTTCTTTTAATGACAATAGGGTATACCGCCATCTAGTGGTCATGTTAATCACTTTTTACCGGTCACATTTTACATTCACCCATGTTTGTTAACTGTGCGAAATGATCAGTTCTGCTCCTAGATGACCGCTGTGTCTTCAGGTCCTTTAGGTCTCTTTATCAGCACCTGCAGATCTAGGAGGTGTTGTTAAACTGGTCCAGTAAAGCCGGTAACCAGCTGGTTTAGCTTGTGAGGAGCTGAGAAAGAATGAAAACCTGCAGATACACTGGCAGCTGTAACTCCAGGGCCAGGAATGGATACCCCTGGTCTGACTAATGTCATTTCTCGGCTTAAGACAGGTACATAATGTCTTTTAATTTGCTGGTTCCAAAGTTAATAACACTTAAAAAAGGTAAGATCACAGCCACCCATAGTGTACACAAAGATGGGACTTAAAACAGGTATTTTCTAAACTCTTTTCTGACTGAAAATGTAATATCCGAGAGTTAAACAGTTAGGTAACATGGTGTCTATCATCTGCTAGCTACTTTTAAATAATTGTTGAAATTTAATAAAGCTCTCAGATCTCTATTCAGGTGAACTTGGGGAGCAAAATGGCTAGTTAATCACTTGTGTAGTCCCAATATAAATTTAATTTTCTTAAATCACAGAAATCATAAATTCGTGTACATGTAACTGAATACTACACAAACCACAAACCTACCAGTGACTGAATAGAAAGAGCAATTTTATTAGTGAAGTGCTGCCTCAGTTCGCACTAACTGTTGAATGAATGGTCAGTTAATATTAGGATTTCAAGCCTTTGCATGAAGCCAGATTAATGCAATACCTGCATGTCTATCTTGGAGCTACTGAACTGAACTGGGCTTCTTTTGAATGACAAGTGGTTGGGAGATAACACCCACATCAGATTTCAGACATCTAAGCCATCTTTTTTTGTCCTAAGATAATAATTCATAATGAATTCTTACTGAATATCATAGGTATAGCACCTGAATACTGTATCTCTGACTCTCAAAACCAAAGAGCTTTACTGATTAATTACAGTGCTGCCAAATCATAACAATTTGTTGAAGAATTACAACAGCTCACTTCCTCAAGTTGTGACAGCAGATGACATACTAGTCTGCCAGCTCTGTTGGAGTAGGATTGAGTGTTGTTGTGATTCTGGTAGCCATGGGAAATCTGGTATTAGATGTATTGTTATAGGGAAGAATATTCCTGTAATCTGGAATAGTGCAGCACACAGTGCTTCTCCCTACTGGCAGTGGGAGCACAGCATGGCTGTGGTCAATGAGGTAGTCCTCTCTGGACAGTCAGGTCTGCTTTTGATCAGGCTGTGGTCACTGAGTCACTACTTCATCAGAGTCTGTTTCCCCTTGCTGTCAAATATATGTCCACTGTGTGTTGTCTATTCAGTCAGTTTTTTAGAGTTTTAGAGTTAGCAGTATTCCAACATGTGCTGTGCTTGTGTGCCAGTGGGTGAGGTAGTGTTGTTTGGCTTGTGCTTGTGCTGTGATTTGGTGGACTCTGATGTGTGGCATTGAAACAGTGCTGTCTTGAGGCTGGCTGGTGTCGGTGTAGCTCAGTGCAGGGGGCTCTACTGTGGGAACAGTAGAACCTTGTGGGGTTTTTTTTACACCACACTTCACTACCAATGGGCAATGGATTGGGTTAGATTACATATTTAAATATTTGGAGTAAGATTCTTGTGGGGGGTTGATATTGCAGACTCCCTTCTTATGGCATAGAATGCCCTGCATATCTTATGCTTTAGTGCCCTCACTGCCAGGTCAAAACTCCCAGATGAACTGATTATCAGACCAAGGTACTGTATGTGTAGCTGGTTATGCGTTCCAATGTGTAATTTATTTTTCCTTCACTTTTTGTTGGACATTTTAATTAATAAGTGAGTATATATATAGTGATCAGATGTGTGGCTGATCAGTAAAAAATCATTAGTCCTTGATTCCTGACCTTAGAGAAACACCTGGTTCTAAGGATGAGATTAATGTTTGAGCAGAGTTTACTTTAACTTCCAGCTGTCAGCTGTATCTCAGCATTTCATTGTTGACTCCATCTTGATCCCTAGGCTTTTGTGGTCTGAGGGCCTGGAGTTTGCCTAGTGGCTCCTACTCTGTGATTGAGGAGTCTAAGTGGCTTTAGTTGTCTTTAATAGTCAAATCCAGGTTTTACATACATGTTGTTTTAGACTAACGCTTCTGCATTAGCAGGTTTTAATTAATTAAGAGTATTCATCTTCTCCAAGAAGCAGTTTTGCTTTAATGACTCTTAGATTTCTGTGAGTTGCCAGAACTGCATTTTCTTTCTTTTTAAGGGTCCCTCTGTTTCCTGACGAATTCCAGTAACAATTACTGACAGCCACAAATCCCCAGTGAACAGCTGGTGGACTGTCTATACTTTTAAAACATTCCCCTACCAAATGCAAATCCCAAACAATGCACATGAGTTGTTTCTGCATTCTGTGCCTTTGCTGTCTCTGCTACAACTAGGCTTCTAAACATTTGCAGTTGCCCTCAATATAAGTTTTATTTCTGGAGCAGAAAGAGAACATTTTACTATCACCTTATCAGAAGTATTTCAAAGGAGAGAGAGAAAAGAATGTGGAGATGAAGATGGTGTGCTCTTTTCCAAGATGGAGGATGTCCCTGTGCTCCTACAGATGGTTTCTATAGGTAGTTTCTCTCAGTCTTTCACAGCTTCCCCGGCTTCTTTTGACACCTCACCGGCCCTGTCGTATGTGAGAAAGGACATGTTGGAAAGGTACTGTAGTACTGGAACTGCTTCTGTATTAAAGCACATGTACTTGAACATTATGCTCTGCATGTCTCGCAGCAGCACACATTGTTCAGCAGATAGTGAAAGGACACCATAAAATATGTTTAGGTTCTGCTTTGCCACCATGCACTACACACGTAAGAAACATGCACAAGGTATTACAAAATACACTATCCATCAAACACAAATGTTATACAGCACATTGCCCTATGTGCAGGTGTGTGTATATGATCAAAACTGTAGTCTTGTAGTCCTGCTACAAAACTGACTGCAGTACCTTACAGCAAAAGTGCTTTTAGTTATGGAACCTTAAAGCAAACATTACCTAGTGAAGTTGGTGATGAAAAGGTTTAAGAGATCAATGAGTTAAATGTTGCCAGTAGAATTATTATCTTGCAGCCTGATATCATCAGAGGTTAAGCAAAGCTGTATCTGGAGACTGCAGGGATGTGTGTCCCTCTGAGGAAAACCAGGTAGCTGCTGTAAATGCTGGACCAGCAGGGCAACCTGGGACACTGTGCTGTACGAGGCATTGACTTTTGGATGAGATTGTAATTGATCTCCTACAGTAAGTACTTGGTTATTAAAGATCCCATGTAACTCTTTGAAAAAGTAGGTGTGTTAACCCCGGTCTCCTGCTAAACTCTACTATAGGTCTGGCCCTCCTAAAGTCCCCTATCAACTCATCTGGTGCAGTTTTTCACCACTCCCCAGATCTGCTGTGCAGTGGGGCTTCAGGTGCAGAATGGCAGCTGTATGTCGGCCAGGTAGAGCTGCACTACAGTGGGGTGATGAACTAAGTCCTTTCCCATACTTAAAGAACTTTGAGATCGGTTGGAATGTAAAGTGCTATACAACTGCAAGAAATTTGATTTTTTCTGTAACTATCTTTGTGAAATGTTCTTGAAACCAAAACGTGAATGAGAATCTCCCTAGCCTGTGAACATCCCATGAAATCCATGCAACAGAAAGCCTGCACACAGTGCGATGTGATGAGGGAGGTGGGAGTGGGGAGATATCAGGGCTGCTCCCACATACATACAAATGAGGGTGAACAGCTGTAGCTCGTCTGCGCTTCTGTACTCTACTTCCCTGGAAGATTCTGGCTCCCTGCTGTGAGTTTTGCCTTTGCAATCAAACTCCTGTATCCCCAAAGAGAATGTGCATATCACACAGCTCTTTTATCCAAGCTACTGTAACATACACATCAGATGTGAGATTCAAAGGCAATGGTTTCACATTCAAAGTGAAAGATGCTGTTTACAGGTTCCAGACATTCCTCAGACTTTCTGGCGCAAACCTCTGGTGGAATGTATTTATTTTTAATCTGCTTGCTTAACTTCTGGATTTCACAATATTCAGATGACTGAAGCGCATGTACAAACTCTAAGCGCATGGAATAGAATATCAACATCTTGTTCTCAATGACCTGCACTGGGACAAGTCATTCTGAAATGGCCGTGTTCCCTCCAGCTATTACTATTTAAAATTCTACTCAGCAGATGCAACCCCACTCTCGTAATATCCTGCACCCTCCCTCCTGTGACCTCCCACACTGTGTGGACTGCTTTAGGGGTACAGCACAGAAACGAAAGGCTTACTGTTCAGTCTTCTCCGGGCTTGTTGAGTCAGTGACATCTGTCGTCTTTTCCTTGGGTTCCTCGCCTGCCTGCCCAGCTAGCTTCTTCTCCAAGAAATGTGCCCGCCTCTGCTTGATGAAGATGCTGAAATGCTCCAGGCCGTTGATGCCGTGGTTGATGAGCAGAGCCAGCCACGCCAGCCCGAAGAAGATCCAGGCTGCCAGGATCTTGGCATACCAGTCAGGGTAGAAGCGGTCGGGGTTACTGACTGGAGACAAACAAAATCCACACAGAGAAAAGAAACAGTGAGGACAATGATCGGGGCACAATAAAAAAAAAGCTCAAAATTATCAGAAGAAAAAACGTTTCTCTAAAGGGCCACACCTTTCTTCTTAGGAGAAGGCAAGGCAGAAATAAGAACCCATCAGTCAAAGCCATTCAGATCTTTCCCCAACAATGCATAGGTCTATAAAAAGCACCTTTTCCTTGTGAACACATTTTATGGAGCATGATTCATTTATTTTATTAAAGGAAACTGGATTCAGGAACCATCTAACATCCACAGTTTTAACAAGCATAATGCTTTATGACATGTGTGAGCCTCTCTGAGGTCAAATTATGTTTTTGACTCTGGCAAATTACAAATATCTTCAAATTAGACTGTAGGTCCCCTAAGAAGAAGGTAAATTATATTTCCTTATGAAGAAATGGACAGCTGTGTTTGTTTAAATCAGGGGTGCCCAGCCTTTTTTAATGCAAGATCTACTTTTTCATTTGCCAGTCCAGCGCGATCTACCAGTGTGAATTTGAAGCTCTGATATAGGAAAAACAGACTGTGGGCACCTCAGTAAAATAACGATACCCATCACTAAAATGACAGCAAATAAAAGCAAGTGACTCGTGCTACAGTAAACAAGTAATGTTCCACATTTTAGAAAAAATAATATCTTACCTTGATGTGAGCATTGGCTCTGAGAAGCTTACTTGACAACACTTGTAATTTGTTTTTAACGTGTTGACACTGCTGATCATGTCGATGACATTTTTATTTTGTCCCTGCAGCTCGACATTCAGCTCATTTAGCGGTTCAGTCAGGTCTGTGAGGAATGCTAAATCCAGAAGCCACTGGTCATCCTCTAATTGGGCATATTCATCTTTAGACGACTTGAGAAACTCTTTGATTTCAGGCAACAGCTGAACCTGTCTGAACCTCGCCAAATCTCCAAAGAGCAGGTCAGCAGCCTCAGCAAACGCATTTTTTTATTATTACTTCTCGATCCCTGAATGACTTTTGTGTTTAGCCAGGACGTGGCTCACACGGAACGGTGCGATAATTGTCGCTTTCCTCTTGGTTTAGGCCTCGTGAAAACCGACTGCTGCTAGTTGAGATTTTAATTTTTCCCCTTTTCTTTTCCGTGTCTCACTTTTAGTGGGGAAGTCCACATCATACGTTTTGTGTGCAGTTTTGAAATGTTGTTCTATTTTTCGCATAGACACTAGCATTGCAGATGTGAATGCGAAAGTACAAAAAAATAATCATGCTTCCATTCCTTGTGGTAACGGTAAGTTTTCGGTCTCTTTGCTTCATCATTTTCGCTCAGACACTACAACTATCAAATAGGCAATCAAACTTATCAAACTGTTGGCGAATGTGTCACGGCCAGTCTGTTTCGCTCCACTATGCACAGTAGCGAATGTGGGGTTCGTGCCGCAATAGCCAAGAGAACGTTCTTGGGCAGCGCCCACAACACTCTTTATTTACGGAGCTCCTGCAGCCTTTTTTTTCAGTGTCAGCCAGCACTCAGGGAATAGTTTTTTACAACCCATTCGACAAGGGTTAAATACAAACAAGGGCAGTAAAATGTATGACATTACATGCACAGATCTGAATGATTTTTTAGGCTAGCAAAAAAAAGTAAATAGTCAAATAGCCCATTTATTTTTTGCCAAACATTCTTGCGATCGATCGACTGGGAAGCAATCCGCGATCGACTTGTTAGGCACCTCTGGTTTAAGTCATACAGGGTATGGAACTCTGGGTTACTCACACTATAGCTGGACAATGACTAGTGTTAATATTATTTTCCGGTTTGCAGTCTTAGACAAGTTTTTCCTGTCTGGGATGTAACTAATCTTTGACCATTAGTTTGATCATTTATAAACAGCTCAGAACAACCCAGTATCAAAATCCCCCTCCTCAAAATATTGCCAGCACAGCCTTCATAATGATGTGGTTTTACACTGGCATTTGAAACACATGGTGCAAAGCGCAGAGTTGTGTACCTGCAACGTAGTCCCCGAAGCCGATGGTGCTTAGCGTGATGAAACAGTAGTACATGCCCTCCAAGTAGCTCCAGCCCTCATACTGGTGAAACAGCATCATGGGCACGACAAAAAATGTCACCATACCCGACACGACGGAGATCGTCCGCATCGTCCACTGCGTGGTTCTCTGTGGGAGTGCAGAGCCAGTGTCAGTACCACTCAACCCAATGACAATGCCAAGAGCTGTAGTGCCCTGCCGCTAAGAGCAACTCAACCTATCCTTCTGGCAACAGCTAGGACTTGAACCAGGATTCACAAACAACACAGGTTTGTCAAGCTACAGGTGTAACCAGAACTCTCCTTTTGAAATATGTAAATAAGATAATCAACTTTATAATTAAACAACACCACACACGCAAAAGTTACTTTGGTACCTTGATAAAAGGGTTTGGGTGCCTTTGTTTTAATGTTCCAACCCTCCTTTGCTTCTTTTATAGCAGAAGTTCTTAGATCCTGGCATCTCTCAGATATTTTGCTTACTGTTCAAGATAGAATCTCTTGAGTTCTGCAGTTGACTTGGGTTAACTCTTGGCAACATAAGAAATGTTAAAAAACTCAAGGAGGGCTTTTGGTCCATGTTAGCCAGTTGAGAGGATTGTATCTAAAGAAGCCATGCACAGCATGTCTGGGTAACGTGTTCCACACTCCCACAGCCCTTTGGATAAAGAATCGTGTTAAAAATCTTCAGTGATATTGGCAAAGTCAACCCAGAGGACTTCAGAATTAACAGTGAAAATCCAACTAGAGGACACAAATGGAAGCTATGTAGAGTTGCATTTAAAACTGAGACTACCCTCTGTAGTCTCTGTATTCAAGCCTAAAATGGTTCAGTTCCTTCAGTCAATGTCAGACATTGCCCTAGAAAGTGCAGCCATCAAGTCTACCTGCTGCATCTCGCTGGGACTGGAGTCTGGGGGCTGAGGTGGTCAGCCAAGTGCTCGGGCCCTTCTCCTGTTGTCATGCCCAGTACACCTAATGGGCACTCTACTGTACTTCTGTCCTGTTCCTAGTTCCCTGTGATTATTCATGTCTTTCTGGTGTGTCTTATTGTGTACCCTCTTTACTTCCTGTTTCTGCTCTGTGCACTGATTCCTTACACATTCTGTCAGCCGTCAGCCAAGATCAATGTCCCACCTTAATGTAAATCTCTATCTGATCTGGATCCTAAAAGCACCTTTGGTAGCAATTACAGCTGTGATTCTTTTTGGATAAATCTCTGCCAACTTGGCACACCAAGATGGTGAAGTATTTGCCCATTCTTCTTTGCAAACTTCCTCAAGCTCTGTCAACAGGTCGCTTGGGAATTGTGAATGGACAGCAGTTTTCCAGTCTAGCCATATTCTGTCAGATTCAAGTGTATCTGCCGTGTCAAGGTCATGAACACAAGGGCTCAGGAACTCATTCGCATTGTCTAGAGGTCCAATCATGCCATTGGCATAAGGAGAAAGTGTTACAGAACTGTGGAAGAAATAGTTATATCAAGTTCTTCGACAGTTAAACTGCAACATCTGGCTGCTCTACAACCTCACAAAGGCAGGTAAACAGTCAGAGGAGCCCTCCAATGGGTTTCTCCAGACTTACCCTGTAGTTGATCTTGCTCCCAATGAAGTCACAGAGGTGCTCCTCTATGGCGATCATGTACTTGCCAATCCTGTTCAAAACCACCACGTTCAAGGGGATCCCGAACAGAGCGAAGAACACACAGAAGATCTGCCCACTGACCGTGCTGGGGCTCATGTTTCCATAGCCTGCAAACAGCAAACCCGAGCCTGTGGTGACTGTGTGTACTGCTGATCAAGGCAATAGGGACATCCAGGCAGCTTTTGTTAACAGAAGGAGACCGCTTCTGTTAATTAACTGTCCCTTAATTCTGTCTTTTTATGGAACATTTCAAAGATGAAGGCAGAAAAGAGTTTAAGAAACAAATACTTTACACCGAAAATATTATTTTTAATGATCAAGAGCCCAGTCCACACAGCTGTTTCTATGGAAAGGGATTCGAAAATCTTTAGGATCCCTTAATCCTAGCGGTGGAGATGTAGGGGGTACAACTGGTGCAGTCATGCTTGGGTCACACTATGGAGTGGTAGGAAGAACAAAAATGGAAGTCCATAGCAATTTTCTTTAATTTCTTTTAAAGGTTGACAGGACTGTAGAAAATAGTAAATCATTGTATCAGTATAAACCACCAGTACAGGACCTATCCAAGAGCCCAGAGCCACCAGTACAAGACTGCCCCCGAGTCCAGAACCACCAACAATGGGCCTGTCCCAGAGTCCAGAACCCAGAACCTGCGCCATGGGCCTGTCCACACTTACCTATAGTGGTGACCACAGTGGCAGCGAACGCTGCAGAGCTGGTGTACTTCCAGAACCCATCCACTGTATGATTCCCTTTCAAGCTGATCCCACTCTTGGTGGCCTGAAGGATAACCTAGTAGAAGAGAAAACAGCGAATAATCTAAAATTAGAGAAAAGGAGAGGTTGTCCTTAAGCTCATTTGGCTGTGTGTTCTGCTGCAGAACTTTTTACAGCCTTGTAACATGACCTTATCAGATGCCAGAACCTAACCAAGGTCTGGCCTGGACAGTACTGGGACGGGACACCTGTCAGGTAAACCAGATACCAGCTTGCTGCTGGACCTGTAGGTGGCGCTCTTTCCTTTGGACCAGAGTTTCCTAAAGCATTCCCTAGTATGGTATCCATGGATTTTTATAATCTGGCTTAATCTGACTGGAGATACAGTTTCTCTGCACTTCACCTGAGCTGCTGTGCGCTGGGCTACTGGAGCAGAAAGTGGATACTGCGCTGCAGTGGCAGGGAATGGGTCTCCTCTTACGCGTGAAGTGTTTTGGAATTCTTTGGGATGAAAAGGCACTGTATCAATTCAATTACAATTAGCAGTTAACTCAGTACATTCATTGTTTACAAACAAAACTTTTCTGACAACACAGAGCATGTTTTTAAAAAGTCGTGATTATTATTATGAGCCAGAGATTATTTCTCTTGAGACAGTTTAGGAGCTTGGTTGTGAGAAAACGCACCCTAGAGTTGACCTACACAAGTCTGCTAGAGAGAGAGCTCTCTTTTAACATCTCCACGTGGTGTGGGAGTCTTGGTGGTGCCGGGGGGGGTAAATAGATAGATACTTTATTGATCCTGTGAGGGAAATTGCAGTGCAACAGCAGTTTAACACAGACAACACAAAACAGTGTAACGAATGATACAATAATAATAATACAATACATACAATACAATCAGGACAGTGAGAAGTGCACTAAGAAGTCCAGAACACACAAAGAACAGAACAAACCAGAACAGAACAGTACACAAAAAAGTCATATTGCATAATATAAATGAAGAGATAAATATAAATGTATTGCACTAGTCCCTGGCATATATTGCACAAAAACGGTTGTAAATGGGAAAAAGAAAAAGGACAGATGTATCAGTTTACACTTCAGTCCAGAAACAGGTCACTGTCAATGTTGCCTCTGCCCAGACACACAGTGGATGCGTTGTACAGTCTTATGGCAGAAGGCAAGAATGACCTCCTGTAGCGCTCCCTGTCGCACCGTGGATGGATCAGTCTATTGCTGAATGTGCTCTTCATTTCTATAAGCCTGTCATAGAGGGGATGGGAGATGTTGTCCATGATGGCCTCTAGTTTGGACATCATTCTCCTCTCAACCACTACCTCCAGGGGGTCCAGGCCAGACCCAATGACAGAGCTTGCTCTTCTCCAAGGTCTCAGGGATTTTAAACATGGGCAGCAAAATTATTGGTCTGAAACAGATCCATCTAAACCACACCGATACTGGTGGAGTTTACAGGAAACCAGTGTGAATTGTAGGTGATGCCTTACATCCCTATTTGAAAAATTACCATCTGGATGACTTTTCAGAGTACAAAAGGCTACCGAAAACGGTTTTCAGAAGTCACTCATTCAAAGCGCAGTGACTCTTTTAAAGTCTGATTTATGTGCTCCTTCAGAGCACTGTATTCTCAGCATGTACTGTAAACAGTATGCATGCATCTCACCCTTATCGTATGGTTTTTGTGCTGTACTTTATTTTATGGTATTGTTATTTATATGATGTTGATTGTATACATCTGTAAAATCCACTGGATGTTTTATGTACTCTGTATATACAGTGTTTTTATTGTCTCAGTGAGACCAAAGGAAAATTCCTACTGTTTTTGAACAAGAGCGTTGACTCGGATTTTGATTTTAAGCGTGTTTATCTAGTCTAACACAAAGAGAAAGGCGCATAGCGTGCCCTCTGCTGGCAGGAAGAAATTGTACACCCATGGGCCGCTGTAGCACTAAGATCTCGAGCAGTCGTGAGTCCTCAGAGCACTGCGATTCCCGGAAGGACAAACGTGCTGAAAATGATTGGACTGTTGATCGCTTGTGGGTTTGAATTCAGTGCTGTAATTATGAGCCACAGCAGTAAGTGAATTATAAAAACAGAATGCAAATAGGTAAGCTCAAATAATACAATAAAATAAAATAATTTGCATGAAAACAGCGTCGATTGCAGGAATTAGTATTTACTTTTAATTTATAATAGTGACTATCTGCAACTGTTACTGAAAGATAGAATGAGTGTTTTTTTTACACTGGATGATAAAATTAGAAAGGTATTCATGTATTTCTGAAACTAGATTGTTTTGATAAGGCTTTAAGGAATTCTGCTATACATTGAAAGAGTTCAGTATTTTATATGAAATGTTATTTGGGCTGGAAGTAATGCTGAGTCATATGTGATTTGCCTATGCGCATTAATTTCACTGTTTGTCATTCATGATAAATGTGGGTTATGAGTATAAATCTGTCACAACCGCAATCTAACAATTTTGAGGGAAAATTGTTTTGAGCATTGAACTAAGCAATATATGAGACATAATCAAAGAACATTATTAAAAGTGAATAAGTCTTTGGCCAGGGAGCTCTAGTCTCTTAACAGACACACAGGTTTCAGCTTGTCATATCTTGAACATCGCTCATCAATAAAATGTATTATCTTTATTATCACTAGTACTAAAAATAACCTTTAACTGAAAATGCGGTAAATAATTTTGACTCTCATTCAATATCAAACTGAAATCCAGAAACTCCAGAGTACAATGCACAGAAATCAATATAATAAGGAAAATATAACAATTCTTTTATACCCTTCATAAATAATCATTATGCATTAAAGACCAGGGCAAAGTGACCTGGAACCTACTGTACAAAAAACACGTGTGCCAACAACTTTATACAGAGTGGTATCTCATGAATATACCATGGTATATAGAATGAGCAGGACGAGAGAATAAACATAATGAAAAGCTGTAACAAAAAGGGATTGCAGCAGGGTGTGGTAACACTGTCCACTTCTGAAAACCACATTGATTTGAAAAGAAGTCTGTCTCTCCCATTTCCAGTCAATCTTTTAACATTTGTTTTTGCTGCAAGTAGCCTGGTCAGTAAAGCAGGCTGCTTTCCTTGTAACTGAAAATTATCAGAAACTTTTCTTTTCCAGTAAAAGAGGGTTTATTTTGAAAACTAAATTGAACTTTAATTATTCAAAACCCCTGTTTAACTCTTCAAGAGCCAGGCATGCTAGCGTCACTCTTATCCAAGAGGTGCTGTTTTAAAACACATGCTTTCTACTGTAGCCATTAGTCATATTGATTTGCTATTGCACTGAGCTCTCTCACTGGCCAGATGATTATACATAAGGCAACTGAATGCTTGTTCTCACATACAAATCCTCCATATTTCCTTGATAAGTAGAAAAAGTTGTAAACTTAGAAAATCTCATTTTATTGCTTTTAATTCTGCTCTGATTTTAGTCTATATTACTATTGAAAGGAAAGAATGTTGATAAAAGTCACGTGCAAAGGATTTATTAGAGTAAAGTATAAACAACTGTACAAATCTCTGTAACTCATTAACAATTACCAAATCGCAGATTTTGGAGAGCAAAAAGATGGAGAGTGTGTTAAAGATGTGCTGGTTTACTCTTCTTGAGGAGAGGAGTGAGTTACTGCTAAACATTATAAACTAAGTACAATCAGACTAGTTCTCTCTTTGTCCCAAAGGCCGGAATAATTTCATAGATACGCCTGATTCTGAAACGTCTTTCCATTATGTTGCAGTTCTTGGCTAGAAGTCACCAGACTGTTTTCTTAAGGTACCCAACAGTTCAGTAACATGATAGTACCCACAGATCCTCTGAAAATGTCTCATTCTCAGGAGGTTCAGGGGGTATTTAGTGGTGAGGAGAGCCTGCTTTTTCAGATTCACTTCGGCCTGAAATATATTCAGTGACATCAGCTATCAGAAAAGCTTCAAGCAAAGTCTGGCTACACCCACACCGATCCAGAAAGGAGCACATGAATTCCGCCTGTCTTCCCTCATTCCCTACCTTTGCCAGGCCATCCAGCGATGCCTGGTCAATACAAGCAAACTTTCTTAGAACTTCGTTCTTCTCCTCTTGAAGACGGTCCATTTTCTGCTGGACAGTGTTCCCCTCCAGGACCCAAAAAATGGCCCCCCCAGCCATGACATAAGCCACATAGATCGCCCCCAGGAGCAGGATGGAAGGCAGCTTGATCAAAGCACAAGTTTTGAACATTCTGCCATATAAAAGCTCCAACATGTTAGTGGCAGCCAAAGGGGACGAGGCTCATGTGGTGCAAGAGCTTGAGGACAGCGAGTTTTCTGGTGACCCACGGCAGTCAAATCTGCCCGACCACGTGAAGGAATTATTTTTTCAAACGCTTCACTTTCATGCAAATATAGGAAAAGCAACACCGAGAGCAGGGAAGAACATCCTCAAAACCTTTGTGTCAGCCCTTTATTTATTCGCACAAAGAGATTTCTCTCTCTTCCACAGTCTTCGGGGTAAGAATAGTGGGTTAGTGGCTCAGTGAAAGTCCATGTGCATTAAAACTGAAGAAGTCTGAAGAAGAATTCTGGAGGTCTTACACCACCAGGGGATCTAGTGAAGGATGACAATGAAGAGCCATTTCCATGCGCTTTCAGTGTACTCTAAGCTATTTGCACAATAGTGTAATATAGTGTAATAGTGTAATATAGTAATATAGTGTAATACACTATTTGCACAATAGTGTAAGCACAATAGTGTACTTAATTCCACAGAGGCATTAGCACACTACAGCTTGATCTCGTTAGATCTTAGAAGCTAGATGATTATATGCAAAGTCCTTTGGGCTGCAAATTGCAATATACTGTAAATCCGAGGAATAAAATGATGGTTACATTTATATCACTATAAATTAGAGGGCTGCTGAAACCTTGTTACCTTGAGCAATGTACAGTACTTTATTCAAATTGCTCCACTAAGTCCAATTTTTTTTAAAAAGGGTCTCCAGATCATCTTTGTAAATATGAATATATACCCAATTGAATTATCTGGTAAGATAAAGGAATAATATATTACAATAGTGTTATAAAAGCTCATACTTCAGCATACAAATCATATTTAATTTTTGAAGCCAGGGTATGAGCTTCAACAACATGGCTGGGTTGCTTATCCTATACTCTTCAGGGCAGTGTGGTGGTCATGTGGCTAAAGATCTGCGCCTGTGGCTGGAAGGTTGCCGGTTTGTATCCTGCAGCTGGCATAGGAGTCCTACTCCACTGGGCCCCTGAGCAAGGCCCTTAACCCCAACTGCTCCAGGGGCGCTGTATAAATGGCTGACCCTGCGCTCTGACCCCAAGCTCTGATTACTGTCTGTGTGTCTCATGGAGAGCAAGCTGGGGTATGTGAAAAGACAAATTCCTGATACAAGATGTTGTATATGGCCAATAAAGTGATCTTATCTCTTATCTAAAGAAGTGCCTTCTGTTGTCTGTTTTAAGTACACTTCCATGTAATTTTCGCTTGTGTCCTCTGGTTTGTGTTTTAATGCTCATTCTGAAGAAGATGTGACAGTCTTATCTTGAGATTGAAATTGATGCTTAATGCCCAGTAAACATGCAACAGTGATCAGTCGATCACCACTCCTGCCCAAAACCAAACCATGTGAGCTGCTGAACATCCACTCAGCTTCTAATCTAATTCAGGGTGGCAGGGGAGCCAGAGCCTATCCTGGCAAGCCATGGGCAAACTGGCATGTCCTCCACGGTGTTTCCAGCCTCGTCTTAGTGTGAGTGTGTGTGAGTGTGTGTGTGTGTGCCCTGTGAAGAGGTGGTGTCCCATCTATCCTGCCTTACACCCTTGCTTGCTGGGATAGGCTCCAGCTCCCTCGCGACCCTGAATTGGACAAAGCAGTTCGAAAATGGATGGGTTGATGTTTTTTCAAGGAGATCCATCCTGAGCAGCACAAGTGTCTACGGGGAGTGTCCTACGCTGATAGGCGGAATGAACTGAACCTTTTTCTAGTCTTTAACAGAGGAGAGGGACCTGACAGAAGTATTGAAAATGATCAAAGACCCTGACAGTGTCGACTCAGCAGTCTTCTTCAGAATGAATGGTAAAACATGAACCAGAGGGCACAAGTGCATTTAAAACCTAGAACAGGAGACAATTCTTTAAGGAAGGGCTTGTGGGGAAGTGGACCAAATTACTCAACTCATTTGTTGAAGGCGACAACTGGGCTTCTTTCAGGGAATGGCTGGGTGAGATTCTTAGATCAATTGACTACTAAGCACCAGAAGAGCTAGACAGACTAAATGGCCCTTCTCTTGTTTGTAAGCTTTCTTATGTTCTTTCATCAAACTCAGAGTGAGTTTGGTTCATCTTGGTTGAGAGGTTGAGGCAGGGCAGGTAAATACAGTCCTGAAGAAAATGGAAACGGCTTTTTGGAAAGCAAGTGGGAAAGAGAACCAGCCATGACTCTGCTGCGCTGGAGTTTGGCTCATCTCTGAGGGGGGTCATGGCAGCACGGGGGGATGCAATAGCAGTTTGCAGCCCAGATGTGCTCATTCCCGGGCTGATGAGAAAATGACCAAGTCAATACATACAGCATCCAGGTCAGTACACAAGAACATGACCTATTTATTTATTTATTTATTTATTTATTTAATAGTTCAGGTGAGTAGCTGCATCAGCATGCGTAGGCTGAAAAGGAACAAGTAATAGGTTTATTCCATGCTGAAAAAAAGAAGATTATAGAACACAACGTTTTGGCCATGGAGCCTTCTTCAGGTGTGTTATTTAATTATTGGCTATGATAGGGACCTCATTGTTCCTGAAGGTTTTGTTCCTGACAGCACCCAGGAATATACACACAACATTGTTTAAAAAGGCTGTGATTTAAGAGAACAAAAAAGCAACACATATTTTGCCTTGACATTACTCAATTAAATTCCGCAGTCTGTTCTTTGAGCGATTTTCTTTGAGCACTAGTTTATGGCGCAGTTCAAATGTTTTCTTTTTGTTTTCTGTGGACTTATTATTGGAATATGTTAACTCAGCTAAGCAGCTCTGTGTCAGTTACTAAACTGCCTTAAGGTTTGTTAAAGTACATTAAGAAATGACTTTGTGAAAACAGCAGTAAATTTGCTCATAACTAGGTCATTAAGAAATGATCAGCTTCAAAAGGAAATGACGAAAACCACCTGAGCCTGAAACAAACCAAACTTTCATGTACTCATGAGGCTGTACTGTGTAAAAGAATTAGAAAACTTTAGCACTGTCTGCGGGGCAGTCCCAGCGCTGTGTGGCTGTGTGTGCTGGGGTCAATAACGGCTGAATTTGCACAAGGCTGTCTCCTGGTCCTCTGCTGAAGACTTGCTCACAGCAGATGAAACCCTGGCACAGCAGCTCAGCTGTCAGAGTGCTTGGCAGTGCTCGGTATACAGGTGTGGCTCTGTCATAACGAACCCTGTGTATGAAAAAAGACATAACAAACTTGTAAATGGAACCTTGACAGTTCTAAACGTATCGTGTGTTGTATGCACATCGTACTTTACAGAGGTACAACATTTCTGGATATATGAGCTTCCTCAAGAAGCTGAGAAGAGACCCGCAAGGCCATCGCATCAGAGAGCCCAGTGGCAGCCATTTTCTCCTCCACTTCATGACAGCAGGGGTGTCATGGCTCACCCACGGATCAGCACCATGAGTCCTGTGGTGGGGACCTTCCATTGCTCCGGGTATAGCCGCTGGGGCTCCAGTCTACTCCCCCCCATCGACCCGTTCTGGAGCTCACGTAGGCGCACAGCCCCCACAGGGTCCTGCCTGCTGGGCCGCCCCTCACACTGTCTGCTGGGCGGGTCTCTGCTCCTGGACCTCTCCCTGCTTGCTGGGGCCCCCTGCCTGGCGCTGCAGCCGGCGGGGGCTGTGCCTGAGCTGGAACAGGTGCTCCATCACGCTGGCCCCCAGGTTGAAGAGCAGGGCTAGCCAGGCCAGGCCGAAGATGATCCACACGCCAGCCAGGCTGCGGTAGATGGAGATGTAGTGCTTGTCTGGATCCGTCCCTGAAGATCAAAGCCAATTTGGAATCAAGAGTGACAATTAAACCTTTTTTTAAAAAAAACATATGATCTCCTCTTTATCACCCTATAAGCACGTGAACCTTTCAGCCTGAGCAAGGTGCCGCCTTAGCTCTTTGTCAGTATGGGCCCGGGCCCTTGCTCAACTGCTGACAATTTCATGTGTGGGCACACAAAGTTTCCACTTTTTTAATTATTTAGCAAATAGTTTTACTTCACAGATTTGAAGATGTGGGCCATCCCACATCTTCAAATCATTCTCATTTGGTTTCTCATAGATTTTGTAGAGAGCTCCTCAGCTGTCTGGTTCATTAAAGATGCATGTGACTTAGCAGTAGACATGTGGTCACACATGAACCAGAGGGTACAAGTGGAAAGTGCTTGGAGCTGTATTTAAATCTGAAAACAGGAGACACTTCTTTACACAGAAGGTAGTGGGAGTGTGGAACAAGCTGCCAACCATGCTGTTGAAGTCTATATCCTGGTTTCTTTCAAGTGTCAGCTGGATGAGATATTTCGGTCAGTAATAATATCAGTGCTCACCTTCCATCTTCAAGCCTTGACTCTTGACTTCTGCACCCTGATCTTGTGTCACCCCACTCCCATCCCTTCCTGTCCATGAACTCGATTGTGACTTGTACTGTCACAATTGCCAGCTGGCAAGGAGGCTGGAGTGTTTGTTCATCCTTTAGTCTTTATGACTTTCGTCTTAGTGTTTAATGCTGACAAATGGGAAGGACCCCTCTGCTCATCTAGCCCATAAAGAAAGGCACCCCTCCACGATCAGGTCATACCTACGACATAATCCCCAAAGCCAATGGTGCTGAGAGTGATGAAGGCGTAGTAAAATCCCTCTCCATAACTCCAGCCTTCCACATAGCTGAATATGACGGGGGGGAAGACCAGGAACAGCAGGGTACCCATCACCAGGAACGAAGACATGGCCAGGACCTTCACTGTCTGCTGGGGAAGCAGGGACAATCGCACAAGCCTGCAATGTGAGTGTCGAGACTACCCGCTCCAGCCTGAAGAAGCCGACAGAGAGAAGCAGAGAAAGGGGAACTCCGGGACAGCGGGTGCGGCGCGTACCTCGTGGCGGCCTGCGGTGAGCACGCTCCTCTCCAGGCGGCCCAGGTGAGCGGTCAGGCCCTTGCCCAGCTGATTGAGGAATGCCAGGTTGAGGGGAATCCCACACAGGGCGTAGAACACACAGAACACCTGGCCTGACACCGTGCTAGGGGACAGGTTCCCATAACCTGTAACGACAACGTCAGGCGAGCCCAGTCAGACAGACCTCTCAGAAGACCATGAGACCGGGCACAGACAGGAGGAGCCATTCGACCCATCAAGCCCATTTGGTGGTTAGCAACTAACTGATCTGAGGACCTCATCCAGCCTTTTCTGTAAGAAGTCAGGGTATTGGCTTCAACTTTGTGGCTGGGCAGCATGTTCCACACTCCCACAACCCTTTGTGTAAAGAAGTGCCTCTTGCTCTCAGTTTTAACTGCAGTCCAACGTAGTTTCCACCTGTGCCGTCTGGTTGTGTGTCTCAGTACTGTGTGCTGACACCTCCCAGGGCTGGAAAAGTAAGCCCACCTTCAGAACTCTTATAGCCTCATAGAAAACAAGCATACTGTATGTTTTCCTGTCAATCTCTAAGAGGTTAAATCGAGAGCCCCCTCTTGTATCTAATGTAAAAAAAAATCTTTAAAGTAAACATTATTGTACCGAGATGTATATTACCCTTGCCTTGGCAACAGGTGTTCCACTGCAAGCATATTACTGTATTTATTTTTTTAATCCGCTTGACTAATTCTTTTGAAAAACAAACAGACAGGCGCAGGACTCTGTCACACAACACATGTCCAGATGTATAGCAGGCTCACCAAAGACTTCAGACTGCAATTCAAAAGATGGATCTGTCTTCTTAGTATAAAATGAGGTAAAACTCACATTACATTATGACATCACTTTCAATAACTGCTTATCCACTTCAGGGTCCACAGACACACACTCACACCAGAGCCAATTTTCTCAGAAGCCAATTCACATACCAGCATGACTTTGGACTGTGCAAGAAAACTGAAGCAACCAGAAAAAAACAAGATGCAAGAATATATCTCAATCAATTTGAGGTCCATTTCAGTTAAGCCTGATAGTAAAATCCCTATTTTTCAGTTACACAAAAACTTGAGTCTCTTGCCTACAGTATGTTTTCTCATTATTTCTCACTCTGTTGTCACACAGGGGCTCCCTCCTCCCGTCAAGGAAGATTTCCCATCAGGCCACAGGGGACAAACCCCCAGGCCCAGCTGATCACTCGGCATCAAGCCCGCCACACGGAGGAGTGTGGAGGAGCGAGCGAGCACAGCAGCCCTGTTCTTTAATGGAGACCATGAAGACATCCTGTCTGGTGTATTGGTATGGGGCCTGAAAAATATATCTAACCAAGACAAAAAAAAAAAATACCCATGGAACAAGTCGAGAGTCGAGAGAGTCCAGCAGATTTCAGTGTGAGAAAAAGTGTTCTGCGTTACTGTGCTTCAGAACATGCAGTTCGGAATAACATGGATATGCGGAATAACAGGCTAATCTGCTTCCTGAATGCCCAGCGCAGCAAAGGCAGGGGCTGCTGGGACTGCAGACTTGCCTATGGTGGTGATGACTGTCCCAGCAAAGAAGAAGGAGCTGCTGAAGTCCCAGTTGCTGGGGTTGGTGGAATTCCCTGATGGATTCACTCCCTTCTCCCAGGCATCCAGAATGACCTGGTCAGGACAGAGCAGACACAGGCAGGGGAATTAGCACCGGGTGGTACTTCTCCAGCTTCTGCTGAAATTCGAAATGTCCTCAACAAAGCTTTCTCCAACGTGTTGCCAATTGGTTTATGATTAAAATCTAAAAACGGCCAAAGTTTGAAAAGGATATATATCATAATGGTTTGTAAGCCATCAGCTGATCTCCCGGTAAAATTTAGGAATGACTGCAGAAAAACAGATGACATTGTTAATTCTTTTCCTCCAAAGAACTAACTTTATGATATTTTTCCATTGCTGTACTGAAGATGGCATTGTGGGATACACACAGAAGCCACTGTTCACATGTACAAGCAAACTTAATTTCTAGATTGATTTCTGCCTTTGGGGGCAACTGATTTAATGTCAGAAAAGAGGACTTTCAACTCCAGTCTGAGGAATCGCCTGCAGAGAGAAACCGAAAGATCTAGATTGTCTTAATATCAGTTTTACTGACACATTCTAAGTTCTACATACTATTTCTTATTGCAAACAACCTCAAGGGACATACTGTAGCAAGGGAAAGGAGTTAGTGTATCTCCCTACAACTGCTGTATAGAAGTTTCTTCAAACCTGATCTGCAAGAGAGCCAAAAAATGAATCAACTGTTTCTAAAGGTTGGTAACAGCAGAAAATTATGAATTAAGCAGGGAATAATTTTTGTCTATGGGGCAGAGGAGCACAGTGGCTAAATGTCTGGCCTCAGGACTGACAGGTTGTGGGTTTGTGTCCCCGCTGCAGACACTGCTGTTGTATCTTGAGTGCAGTATTTTACCCCAGTAGCTCCAGTCCACCCAGCTACAGTACATACACAAGGACCAGCACTGCTGGTTGTAGGCTCTGTGACAGACTGGTGTCTTATCCAGGGTGGAAGTCATGTGGTCTTTGACCACTTCATACCCTGAAACCGGTTGAGCTCTGGCCTGATCATCTATTTTATATGGCTTGAATGAACTTACCTACCTTTCCATTTTAGGAGAACTGGTCCTTGAGGATTGCAGGGTACTCAGATTCTGGTCCCTCATCATCTTTGAATGATTTAATTAACAAATCACCTACTTGTTTGTTGCATTGAAATTGTTCAATTCTTTAAAATGTATGATTTAATGATAGCCTCCAGTATAAAACGTGCTGGATTGGGGGCTCTCAAGGCTCAGGGCTGCAGACTCCTGCTATACAGCAACATTATTTAAATCAGGGGTGTGCAGTCCTGGTTCTGCAGGCCTCCTCCCAAGCATGGGTTTCATTCCAACTCAACACTAGCTGTACTGTACTGTAACAACCTAACTCAGCTCATTATCGGCTTGAACAAGAGGCCCCATCGCTTCTGATGACGTTGCTCTGAAGAGCCCTAGAAAACCTGCAGACGTAAATGGATTATACCAGAATGAGATGGGCACCTGTCTTCTTGGCACAAAGAAATTCAACACAGTGGCCCTGCAGGACCAGGATTGGACATCCTGGTCCTGACTTACGTGGAAAGCTCTAATTGTTCGTCTTGTTGCTACACTCTTTAACGATCGTGCGGATGAAGTGCAGTAAAGTGAAAATCAATGATGTTCTAATGAGACTATACATTACTACAGCAAACAAATCTGTAACTGCCATGGAAAAATATTGCATTGATTTTATTTATCTTGGTTAACCAACTTAATAAATCCAAGGGTTTTGTAGTGCCACACATTTAATTGTGTTTTTCTGCTTTTAATTAGATTAATTCTGAACCACTTACCATTTATGTGAACACAGTCTTATCGGTGGGTTTTCGGGCTGTTTTTCCCTAGATATGGTCTACACCCACAGTTGTAATCAGTTTCTCTTAATCATTTTTTTCTTTTCTTTGAAGGGAGAAAGTCAGGAAAATAGGAAACAAAAAATGAATTTGAGTGTGGAATTGCAGTCATATGGAAGATTAATCCCAGGCAAATTGGTTTATTATCAGCAAGCTTGGATACTTGTCAGACCAGCAGATTGTGTTTTTTTCCACACATTTTGCTAATACAAATTCTTCCCACATAACTCCCCCCCTCACAGAGCAGACCTACCTGCACAAACCGCTCCAGAGCTGGTCCGTCCAGACAGCTGTAGTTCTTGAGGAACGTCAGCTTCTCCAGTTGGAAGTGGTTCCGGTTCTGGCTTTCCGCCGCCCTCTCCAGGATCTGGAAGATTGTGGCACCGACCAGCAGGTAGAGGAAGTAGCCCAGAACCAGCAGGGCGGTCCAGCTGACCCGCATGTTGGCGTGGAAGCGAGCCATAATCCCCCAGCGCAGGGTTACGTCAGACCCAGAGAGGGGGCTGCAGGAGTCAGAGGGATGGTGGCGCTGAAGCCGCTCCAGGAGAATATTCAGACAGCAGAGCTGTCAGAGGGGCTCTAGATTGCAAAGTTAGTCATAAGAAAGGCGTGGCATGGAACCGCAGGCGCGGAAGAGAAATAATTATGTCTTTGTGCAGTTTCCCATTCCTGCAGCGCACTGCTCGCGACGACTTAGGACAAGGAATCTTCTCTTAAAAACTGCATAAATACTTGCGTTGTTTCCCTCTGTCTTTGGGTAAAGGCAGAACCAAAGTCCCTCAAGTGCTATGATGAATGCCTTTTTGCTGCACACTTCAAGTAGAGCTCAAGCAAGGAAGCACCCTTTCAGAAAACACAATGCCCTTTCCATCAAGCTGTTGCACAGGCATCAGATGGGTTTCCAATGTGACTGAGGAGCTGCAGGCTCTTTCTGTCCGGGACACCGGGCTGTTTCTAGACGGTAAGCGACTCTATCAATCACCACCCCCTTCACACTTCACTGATGAGGAAGCTGCCTCATGTCAGCAGAACACTAGTTAATATTTGACCTGTCACATCCTGAGTGTCCATGCATGAATCTTTGAGATGAGCATCCTATTTCACCACACCGCTTAGCAACTCTCATTTAACTCCTGCATTCATTTGTGTGCTCATCTGATACTGTATGTCTGCAGCCTGGTAAGAAACTACAAGGACATATAATTCTGTAAACTTTTGGTTAGCAAGGAGTTTGTTGTGAAAGACACAACGTTTTGTGAAAGACAACAGTTGTGACAGTTGTTTTTTGTTGTTAATGATTTAGTCACATGGGAGTATTTGTACTGTACAGTACGTCTCCAATTTTTTACAGTTTTTCTTTCTATAAAACAATAAAATCCTTTTAGGATTAAAGATACTGCAGTTAAGAAAGGAGTGTTGAGGATAGCTAAGCAGATAGAATAAGGCATTTTTCAACTTTTTTTCCAGAAGTTACTTGCAGCCCAGACTTAATGCAGTTGTGAAAATGTAGATATGCCCACGATGCACTTTGAAATGTAAATCACTGCATGGGGATTTTCTAGAGGTGGAGATTTAAAGAGAGATCTGAACTGGTGACTTTTCCCTTGCATGGCCATATGGATGACTTACAGGAGCAGATGAGTCCTGCTTCACTGTACTGTATGTGTGGCAGAAGGCAAGAGAGACAAGGGATGAATAAAGACAACAGATAAAGAGCTCTCTGAGGAATAGGTTCGTGTCCAGCACATTTTTAGTCTTCACCAGAGAAGACTGTGAGGAGTCTTGATCCAGGATTTCAAAATCCTCAAAGGCATTAACAGAGTCAACCCAGTGGGACTTCTTCAGAATCAATTGTGAAACTAGAGGACACAAGAGGGAACTACGTGAAAGTGAAATTAAAAAATGAGAACAAGAGGCACTTCACACAAAAGGTGGTGGGAGTGTGGAACAAGCTACAGTACGCGGCCATGTTCTTGAAGCCGATAACCTACCTTCTTTCACAAGACAACTGGATAAGAAACTTAGATCAATACGCTACTACCAAATGGACTAGATGCGCCAACTGTTCTTTATTTAAATGAACATATGAGAAAACTGTTAAAAATGTCTCTTCTTTTGGTTGATAGGTGAAGATTTATTTTGCATGTATCAACACCATCCACTTATATTATCATAGGTCTGCATTCCTCCATCAGCAGCTATAATCCACATATTCTGTGCTTTGCCAGAGATATCCTTAGTAGGATCAATGCAGCTCTCAGGTTCACAGGGGAGAATAAAGTCAACAAATCTAACATGTTATTTGCTTGAAAGGAGAGACATCAGTGTTGCAGAAATATAAATTTGGCGATTTCGTCAGCAGCTTTTGAGCCCAGAACAACTAACCTAATCCTGAGTTCAACTCTACCTGTTATCCCTGCACTGGTCCCGATTGTCCTTTCATTCACTCTGAGTGAACACATGAGAAAGCTTCAATCCCCATGGCTTCTCATGACTCCTCAATGCATTTGCAGTAAAAAAAAAATATTTTTCACCTCAATCTTGAAAAGCTCTGAACTCTACAGGGTGATTGTAACGGCACTCCCCACCAGATTAGGGAGAGGGAAGCGAACTCCTGTATAATGGCACTCATGAGGAAATCTATGCCATGCTTTTTCTTTTTCCCCTCAAATTCCTCCACATCCTCCTTTGTCTTTCAGAGTTTTGCCCCCGGTGCTGAAATGTTCTGGCACATGGCACAGCCTGCGCCGAAGGACAGCAGGAAGGGGGCGTGTCTGGGACGCCCCCCTTCCTACGGACTCTACTCAGATTCTTCTCTGAATGCAAATCTCATTCGGAGGGATTGCATCAGCCGCACGGCTAAATTTCATTAAACAAATCAGTCCGGGGAAATGCAAACTGGAATTTTGCCTGGAACGAACATCAGTCCTAAAGCAAAAATACAGGTTAGATCTAAAATATTATATTGCATATTTCCCCTCTATTTGTTGTTGCCTTGCAAACTGTATCCACACTCTATCTGGGCACTAACTAGCACTGCTGCATCTTCCTCCACCTGCTTCCACAAATACAGAAGAAACTAGAGGGCTTTTAAAACTCTTGCTCTCACGTTCTCAGCAATCTGCTGCCTCGTGGATGAATAACCACAGTGCCCCAACAGAGTAACGAGCAATAATCAATGAGAATCACTGTACTGATTCACTTTGAGTCCTGTGAACCACGTAAGCTGACTGATAAACAGCACTTGAGACTCTTCAGACCAAACATGAGCTAGTGATATTTCCCCAATTACAAATGAACATGAATCACATATTACAATTTGACCTGGAATTCTCATAAAATATAACCAAAAATAAAAACATACATTCATAGGAGAAAAAACTCCAAACTCCTTCGTAAAACTAGCACGTGTTAATTACATAGCAGCTGTAGCTCAGTCAGCCAATGTAAAACTGCATTCACAGAATCTCCCAAATAGTTACTGCAGAGGTAAAGCGTTATCATGGGGAAGTGGCTTTCTGCTTGACCCGAGAGGGAGCAGCCTCTCTGATGTTTTCAGAGAAGCCACAGGGGACAGGCAAGCTGAAATATTTACTAGCATGACCAGGCAAAAGTGTTCTGAGAACAAAGACTGACTTCATGGCTGTTATTAGTTTGTATCAGGCGGCAATCACAGGGCACTTGTGTGGTTAGTTTAACTGACACACACAATGGAAGTGTCTAGAACTGACATAGAGGTGGCAACGGATATCGCCAGTGAAATGAACAAAACTACAGATACAGATAAAATTATTAAATCTGTGTAGTGTTCTGTTCAGAGTGTCTCTTGTCAAATGACAACTTTTTTAGAAGCCACAGACTCACCTGATAGTAGGGCACTTTGCAAATGTATTCACCCCATCCAACGATATCTCGGTTTGTTGAATTACAAGTTGGTGTAATTTATACTAATTTTGTATCCAAACTTGAATGCTCAGACTGAATCGATTTACTGGTGAAAGATGTTTAATGTCACCAACAACTGCAGAGAAAAATCAAAAGCTAAAGCATGTTGATTGCAGAAATGTTCAACCCCTTTGCTAATGCAAACCTGAATTCCATAGATTAGTCAAATTATTATGATTTATTAGATAACGAAACAAGCTAACTAATGTAAAGGGACAGATTACTTAATACTTTGGAGTGACAGTCCTAGCTGAAGATCAACACTGTCGCACTCCAGGAATGAACCAGGGAGCTGCTACAAGGGTGAAGGTGGGGTGGAGGGAGGAGTTCTGCAAAAGATGAGCACTGAACTCAGCTAGTATTTATACGCAGAAGAGTGGAAATGTGAACTTAGACTTTGACCTCCTCCTGAACATTTGTTAAATAAAACCATTTAATTCAAGCGTACAAAATTATTTGGAGACATAATTTTCTCAATTGAGAAGGAGGAAGTGAATACAAGAAAAAGCAAAAAGAAGGTGTTTAAAATAATCAGTGTGAAAATAGCACAGTCAATCTCTGTTCTAATCTGCATGAAGAAATGGAAATGTGGAAAGCCCCAATCTGAAATTAGCAAACAGAGGCATTTTCCAAGTTCTGTCAACTTGTTGACAATTTTAACACATGACCAGAAAAATGTAAGGATGGGTAACAATGCAAACAAAACACATTGTTTTTTTTATTGAAATAAACTAATTGCACTTGAATTATTAAGAAAACTTTGTATTTTTCACAATTCTGTTTTCAAAATAAAGCTATTTAGAGGCACATCAAACATAATACAAAATAAGGAACAAGTAATAGGTTTATTCCATGCTGAAAATAAGAAGAAAGAGAACACAACGTTTTGGCCGTGGAGCCTTCTTCAGGTGTGCAACCATGGCCTCCATGGCCGAAACGTTGTGTTCTCTTTCTTCTTTTTTTCAGCATGGAATAAACCTATTACTTGTTCCTTTGCAGCCTACGCATGCTGACGCAGCTACCCTTCTGAAATAATACAAAATAATACAATTCTCTTATTTTATGCCATCAGCTCAGGCAGCATTAGAAAGTAGGAACTCACTCCTGTCCTGATGAATTCTGCAGACATTTGCCTCTTAGCAGAAAAATGAAGCAACTGAGTTCCAAATTTCTCTGCACTGTTTAGTAATTCCAGTGGCAGCCTACTGGCCAAGAACGCTGTTTTGACATCAGTCTTTCTCCCGTCTTCTGCTCTCTTCCATTGGTTGAGGACTTTTAACACAAAGGCCAAGCACGGTCCTCAACAGCTGACCTGTAGGCGTGACTGTCATTTTAGCATTAGACTGTTCTTAATGCTTTCCAAGATCTGCTACTTCCAAATGAGTATCGAGACACAACCCAGAAGACAAGTTGAAACTAACTGACACTTCATTTGAATCTTAGAACAGGAGGCACCTCTTTATGCAAAGGATTGTGGGAGTCTGGAACAACGCTACCCAACTACCTGGTTGAAGCTGACCCTTCGGCTTCCATCAAAAAATAGCCAGATGAGATCCTCAGAATGGCGTCTTTGCATTTGTAGCTTTTAGTACGTTCTCAAATGGTAATTAAGAAGTATGCCCAAGGCCAGAAACCTCAACATTGAGGATAGGGGAACAGAGGGGCGATGCCAAAATATGCAGTAATGGCAAAGATGTCTTTCTTTCTCAGGTACAAGGTGTAAACCCTGGTAAAAGTGTAGCACTGTCGTGTTCTCCAAAGCTGTTCAGGAATGGTGTAGTTCTTCTGCCTTTGGCATGACTCTGGCACCTCACACCCAACTCATGCAGCTGCAGTGTCCTGTCAGAGATGCCCCTGTCCAGCACAATGCTCCGGGGAGGGACTAGGCCTGAGGGAGAGCTTGTGGGAAGCACTTCCACTGCCAGTATCATAGCTTTCATTGATGAGATGATCCTGAAATACACATCAAGAGGAGGGTTACTGCAGAAACCAAATCAATAGCAGACTACATGAGACAAAAAAAAAACATAACTAAGAACATGGCTTCTCTATGGTAGTATCAGTGCTTGAATTGGGCCAGTACAGTCTGTTATGTAGTACCTATACATCTGACTTTTGGATTTAATATTACCTCCCAGTACTTTGTAATAGTTCACAAAGTAAAATAAATTCTCTAATACTGTAATTCCACTGTTCACCATTTTAATCATGTTAGACTAAAAACATATCATGTTATATGTGTAATACTGAATACTCTAATACAAGTATGCCTTTTAATCCTGTATGTTAATACTTTGAGATGAGATAATACAGTAAAAAGACATTCAACAAACATGTTTCTTTCCCATGTAATTATTTTGACATTCCTCAGACATGTTTTGAGCCTTTTTAAGAGTGAATATAGGAATTAGTTTTCCGCATTCATAAAGATAATATACAATCAAGTGAGGCAAATGTCTATTTTCAGAGCCTGTTACCAAAGACAGAGCATCTCAGTTGTGTTGCTTTATTTGACGCTAAAGTTTCCATCAAATATTTTATGAACATTATATTTATTCAGACAGGTTGAAAGGGCTATCGGCACTTCTTTTTTCATGCTTTTCTGTAGTTTAGATTAGTCATTAATCAATTCAGTCAATTGGTAAATACAATTTTAACTAGGAATAATTAATTGCATTGATATACAGTAGTAAAATATATCTAACAGGACCTTATAATATAAAAGAAGATGTACCACAGAATATCTGGCAGCATCGCTGAACAAAGATTTGTTTTTTTTACCTACTGTATAATGCAAGCTGTGCTGATTATTACTTGCAAAACTGTAGTGTGGTATCATGGTCTGTGGCTGGTATGGCACTAAGCACACAACCAGGCTCTGGTGATTAGTGGTATTTCCAAATGCTGAGGTTTTGCATGTAGGTAATATCATGGTTTGGGCATACATGCCTGCCTCTGGAACTTGCTCACTCATCTTTACTGACGATGTAACTGATGATGGCAGCAGCAGAATACATTTTACAGTGTACAGACACATCATGTGCCCACATCCAAAAAAAAAGGAGGCAATTTTTGGACATCTTTTGCCTTCAGGTAACAATTTACCCTGCAGTAAGACAATGACAAAACATACTGCACACTTAAATAATCATACTCTGGACAATACACACGAAGCTCTTTACAGGTAATGGGGACTCCCCTCCACCACCACCAATGTGCAGCCCCACCTGGATGATGCAACAACAGCGATAGTGCGTCTGTACGCTCACCACACAGCAGCTCTCAGTGGGGAGGAGAACAGAGTCATCATGTAAATTCATTATTAGGAGGCCATGATTGGTAAAGGCCAGGGGGAAATTTGGCCAGGACACCAGGGTAATACCCTAACCCTTACTCTTGTGGAGAAATGCCCTGAGATTTTTAATGAGCACAGAGTCAGGACCTTAGTTTTACATCTCATCCGAAGGACGGAGCCTGGTTTTTACAGCTTAGGGTCACCATCACCATACAGGTGCATTAGAACCCTACTGGACCCACTTGCAGCTCTCCCAGCAGCAACTTTAGCTTTCCCAGAAAGTCTCAGATCTCGTCGTTGAATTGCTCGGGAAGCTCGTGTCTGTCCTCAGATCTTGCTTCAAATCTTTTGCAGTGAACCAAAGATTTTTCCAGGCTGCTCCAACAATTCTTCTTCAAAGTTTTGCATAAATCTTTGTGTTTCTTCAAACCTGGGGGTGGCTGCAGTAGTTCCTGATCTGTGTTGGCCAATAACAGCACCACACTGAGGCTTTTCGGGCCTATTCTCAGTTTTCCACTGGCTCCTGTGTTAAATTGTGTCAGTGCCATTTTGAGATTTTTTGCTGTACTTTTAGTTGAACCATTTTCAATGTTTTTTTTAATTACAAATTTCAGCCATTATGCTTTTTTTCATAATTTTTTTTATGATGCTGTTATTTATTTTAAAATTATTGTCAGCCATTGCTTTTTAATTATATTTCATAACTGTGGTCAATTTGCAACAAACGTGGAACATGTTGTTTACAAAAATATGTTTGTGGAAATATACACCTATTTTATTTAAGGATTCTAATTTAGTTTTTATTATAAGGTTGAATCTGTTTTTTTATTTTTCAACAGAACAATTAGAAAAAGGATATATAAGACTTTCTTTGTGTTTTTTTCTCATTAATACTTTTGCCTGACCTTATGACACACGCTAAGCTTTTGCTAGACATATATGGAACAGTGTAGGAGATTATCAATAAATAAGTCAGGCTTCTTTTTTAATTATAATCCATTTGTGAATACTTTGTATTGTTGGTCTACCTATTGCAAAGATTAGATTTCTACATCAGAAAAACACATCCCAGCAGGTGTCAACTTTCTAATGGAAAAGGAATCCCAGTGGAAACTGGAGCACATAACCTCTAGGTGAGGTGTGTGACACTTTGCAAAGCAGTTGAGTCACTATGAGATATGCAAACAGATTTTGCGTGCTAGGTTACACATCTCAGTGCTTAATGCAGCAAAGATCTGAACCATTAGAGGCCTCTGAGGCTCCCATCAACTGACCCACTCCTAGATTTAAATAGCCATTTAAGTATTTATGTGCCCATCCATCCATTCATCAGCTGTATTAATTTGTACACAGTATTGCAACACACTTTGTGCACACAGAAAGTGCACTGAGCATCCTCTTTTGTAATGACTCTTGTTGCTATCTTCGCTTTATCTCCTTTCACTTAACGCATTCAATACTTTTTTAAGATAAACCTTAGCTTCTCAGAGTCTCTCATCCATGACCATTCTGATAGCTTCTATTCATTGTGGTCGATTGAGAATATACTATATATAGTGACAAAAAAGCTGTGAAATTAGTTATTTCTATTGTAACGTTCTGCTGTCCTGAAACAAAAGATAAGATAAGATCACTTTATTGGCCATATACAATTTCTGGCATTAGGAATTTGTCTTTTCGCATACCCCAGCTTGCTCTCCATGAGACACACAGGCACACAGAGACAGGGAGAGAAGCTTGGGGTCAGAGGGCAGGGTCAGCCATTTACACGGCGCCCCTGGAGCAGCTAGGGTTAAGGGCCTTGCTCAGGGGCCCAACGGAGTAGGATTCCTCTGCCGGCTGCAGGATACAAACCGGCAACCTTCCAGCCACAGGCGCCTATCCTGAGAGCCACCGCTCCGCCCCGGGTCCTACAGATCCAAATCGCAGCAGTGGCTGACTAAATTCCATGTCGGTTCGCTGTCCAAATGGGATTGAATGATGGACATGACCTCCCCAGCTACTTTCCGCAACAGGAGCTGCTGGAAAGCCTGATAAATCTTCAGCCCTCAATGAGATATGAAACAAAGAGCATTACCAGGAGACAGGAGCCTAGTCTATTGCACAAGGGTGATCAACTTCCGTGGCTGGGTGCTGTGCTGAGGTCAAATGGGAATGACATCTCAACAATGTCCAGTGGCAAGGAGGAATGTGTAGATCAAAGAGGATCCCAGAGGAGAAAGCTGCTCCACGGAGCTCAGGGATGAAGAGCATTAAGGTCAAGAATGGGTAATTCGCACCTCAACAGGGTTACATTTTCTTTTTGCTTTTCCACCACAAGTTACCGACTTTGATTAAACAAAACAACACCAAATAGAAAAATGTTCCCCTTTCTCTCAAACCCCAGTTGAACTAAAGGGAAGTGTAGGGAGTTGAAGCTCATGAAGTGCCTGGCGTGTTTGTTAGGAATGACTAATTGCTCTCCTTCAGGGTAGTCTGACACACAAAGTGTTTAAACAGAGAGGATCCCGAACAGCAGAGGAGATAATTCACTGCTCCCTGGTGTTAGTAATAAGGCCATCTGTCTCTCTCCCCCTGTCGCACACACTGACACAGCAGCATGTATTGGGAGACACTGCACACACACAGAGGCATTGCTCAGTAAACCCTAAAGCCATTAGTCGGGCTGTGATAAGAGCAATTGCTTAATATATATGTTCTCAAACACCATGTGACAGAAAATGGTTCCTTGTCAAAACGGGAACCTTCGATTCCTGCGCCGTTGATTTACATGGTTCAGATTTCCAATCCAATGTGCCTGTGTGGCTCAGCTGAGCGACTTCTAAACTCAGGGTGTACAGTGATTCTCTCAGTCCAATAATGTCACCTGTCCATCTCACTTCACATCACAGAGACCAGTGGGCAGAAGACTATTATTACAATACTTCAGGAGCACACTGAAACAGAGTATATTTGATTTTTGTTTTCCTGCGACACTGGTGTTAAAAGCATACTGTGCCCTCCAAAATGAAAGCAGAGTTAAAACTAGTATATTTTTGCTTTATATTCAGGCAATTTGTATCTGTGATCATAACATAATATGAAAGAGAAGTATAATATACATACGTTTTTGGTAAGCTCTATTCATACATTTGATCATATTACATATTAGAACAAAAACATGCTTTGTGTTTGACCCAGTGATTTAATGTGACGATAAGTACATTTTAGAGTGTAAAAGTCAGTTATGTGGCTGATTATCCCTTTGACCCAATAACTGCATGATATCTGTGAGCCATTGTATGAATGGGGTGAAAAGTAAAAGATATTATATTGCACTTATTCATAATCACAAATACAAATTTTTTGCCTGTAAAGCAAATAAAATGGGTTTTGACTTTGCTATCCCAATTCTTAGAAGGGCCCTATGCAGTACAAATACCTGACTCTGTAGGCCCTACATTGTAAATGTGCTCGCATGCATCTCACTTGGACAGCTCCAAACTGCTGGAGTGTTACAGCAGCTGCATCAGGTGGTTGATGTGTCTGGATAACATCAGGAGGACATTTTGTAAAGTAAAAACCCTATCAATCTGTATGTGCTTCTACTTCTTCTACTGTATATCTGATGCCAGGAAGCCCAACATACAAAAAAGATAACCCTGAAATTCTGATGCTGTTCACTGAATGAAAAGTAAGATGTAATAATAATAATAATTATTATTATAATAATTGCTTACACTTATATAGCGCTTTCCTGGACACTCAAAGCGCTTTACAGGTAATGGGGATCCCCTCCACCACCACCAATGTGCACCCCCACCTGGATGATGCGACGGCAGCCATAGTGCGCCAGAACGCTCACTACACACCAGCTATCAGTAGGGAGGAGAGCAGAGTAATGAAGCCAATAGATCAGAGATGGGGATTATTAGGAGGCCATGAGTGGTAAGGGCCAATGGGAAATTTGGCCAGGACACTGAGGTTACACCACTACTCTTTTCGAGAAATGCCCAGGGATTTTTAATGACCAAAGAGTCAGGAGCTCAGCTTTACGTCTCACCCGAAGGACAGTACCTGTCTACAGTATAGCGTCCCCGTCACTAAACTGGGGCATTAGGACCCACATGCAAGTTGTGAATTGCAGAATGATATGGCTGCTGGATTAGAGGTTACAAATTGCGATAAACTACAGTATTTATGACTGGTTATTGCAACTGTCCCTCATAGTTCTACTACTTTAATCTCAGTGTATTCCACCTTATGTTTTGGCAAAATCACCAAGCTTGTGTCATAGTGAGCTCCCTTCTGCGGTCTACATCAATAGTCTTTAAGAGGAAAGATATGTGTTCTACTTCAAAATAGCTGGCATTAATAATCACATAGTGATGCAATTTATATTATTTTCATAACCACTGCACAACAGTAATGAATCTTTAGTTTTTCAAAAATGGTCAGTCAATCACATCGTCTAAAGAAAGAGTTTAAAGCGAATGGACGCTGTCTGAAAATTGCACCTTGGAAATAAAAAGGCACCTCACATTTCTGTCTTACTGGTGAAGAGGAGCTCCTCTCATGTGCTCAGATTAGTACTCATAGCAGGGAACTGAGTTTCCCCCATGTGTGTCACAAAATCTCCTCTGCCTGACAAAAACTAAAGACCCTAAATACTGCTAAATTTGCTTCCCCCCCCAGTGCTTGGATAACTCATAGAATACATCTCCAAGTCATCTTACTGCTATTGATCAATAAGTTTCTTCAAGAAGTATGTCAGTGGTTCTGATCTTTTCATTAGACAGTCTCTCAGCCATGTGGAAATTTTTAGTCAACCTGTCTTATCAAGAATATGAGTACTACTGGCAACTGGGAGAAGGGCCTATTACCAAAAGCAGGGGCTATATACAGTATATCAAAAGACTTTCTCTGCTTCAGATCATTATGTTTCTATGTTACAGAAAAGCACTGCAACTGCTGGCTAAAATATGCACTCTTTGTCTGAGCACGGAGGAGGTATAATTGCAGCTCTGATGAAATTTGTAACTATAGAGTTACAAGACAAAAGCCAAGTCGAACGCTTCATGTGCCAAAGAAAGCAAGGATTCTTTACTGGTCAAGCATAAAACACAAAACTGCTGAAAAGTTGATAATCTGTCATTCAACGTGCTGAGTCCATTAAGAGGCAGAAGCAAATGTCAGTAGTTAAGTTAAAGACATGATGACATATAGATACAACAGAAGGCCAACTGGTTTGGCATTGACTCTTTACTTCCGTTCTTCACTAGAGGGCAGGATTTAAAGCTTCTAAAATTTGAGTGTCCAGGAGAAATGAGCTTCAGTATTCAGGGCCAAACAAGCTAGGTGAGCTGAATGGCTACACCTGGCTCGTAACTCTTCTCACAAATCTCTGTTCTTGAAGTCTATAAAAGGGCAGCACGATGGCTCTGTGGTTAGCATTGCTGCCCCGCAGTGCTGGGGCCCTGGGTTCAATTCTGGACCTGGGGTGCCATCTGTGGGGAGTTTGTATATTCTCCCTGAGTTTGTGTGGGTTTCAACTGGGTGCTTCAGTTTCCTCTCACAGACATACTGGTAGGTTAATTGGCTAAGTGTTTGTGTTTGGGCCTGTGTGTGCCCTATGATGGGCTGGTGTCCTGTCCAGGGTGTATCCTGCCTACTGTCTGATGCTTGCTGGGATAGGTTGTGGCTCCCCCATGACCATAAATTGGATAAAGTAAATAGAAAATGGATGAATGGGTGGAAGTATATAAAGTACTTCAACTAACAGAAAAAATCTGATGGAAATGTTTCTCTTTCACCAACTAGTAATTTTATAAGTGCCTCTCCCTTTTTAAATATTGCAATAGAAGGATATTTGTTCCCTCCCAGAGCTGTCACCAGTATCTAAGCATTCCAGTTTATTTGAGCTATTTTTTAACTCGAGTGTTCAGTGTCCATGTCGCTCTCTGAGGACCCAGTGGGGTGTCTGTCTCAGGCCTACCTGTCCTCTGCAGAAGGTTTTGCCTGGCCCTCACAAAGGCCAGGATGTCAGCGTCGGTCTGCTGGTCTCCCGTCAGCGGGATGGAGGACTCTGTGTACCCCGGGGTCCTGCAAATCAAGACAGCTAAACCCACCGGGTACTAGATCCGGGCACGTCATCTGCCAGGTGTTTGACTACATTCACAACCGGGCAAACAGCTGACACGTGATGATTAATGTAGACAAGTGCAAGGTGCTGTATGCAGAACTATACATACAAAATGCATAAAGAACATCTATTAGACATTGTGGGGTAGTAACAGACATTAAGCTGGGATATATAGTTAAAATCACAGGATTCAAATCAAGGGATGTTATGTTAAAATTGAATAATGCACTAGTAAGTCCTCATTTAGAATATTGTGCAGCATTTTGTTAACCACTTTCCAAAAAAGTACTGTAACTGCTCTGGAGTCAGTCCAGAGAATAGCAACCCGATACATTCAGAAGGAGTTTAAGGTAACATTCTACACAACCAGCTGATTCTCTTCAGTCTGAACAGAGATGACTACTAGTATTCAACATCCTCAAAGGCATTTAAAGACCCCTTCAGGATTAGCAGGAAAACACAAACAGAGGACATAAATTGAAGCTTCACATTTATAATTGAGAATGAGGAGGTAATTCCTTATACAAAGAGTTGTGAAGTATGGAACAAGTAAACCAGCTATAGTGCTGAAGTTACTAGCCCAGCTTCTTTCGCAAAATGGCTGGGTGAGATCCTTGGATCAATTAACAGATGGGCCAATTGGCTCCTCTCGTTTGTGACTGTTCTTGTGAAAGAAACTCCAATTCTCCATTTTACAAAGGGCATAATCATATGTTCTATATACAGTACACAAAATCTGAATATCAAATAAAAATTATTGCATGCTAAACAATATTTTATGCAAAAAATAACTCAGAGAATAGTAAAAAAATCCTAGCATAGTGCATTTAAAAAGAAAATTTGTATTTACACTGAGAAAATCTCTTGGTGCACCTGTGCAATGCGACTTGACAGAACTTTTATTGTTTACCAAAATTATTCAAGCCTGAATAAAATATAACCTCTGACATACAGCACTCACATTCAAAATATACACACTGTATTCTCCTTCTCTGATTACACATCCTGCACTGCGCGCGGCACACACAGCATCCTCCTATACTGATTACACAATCTTCACTGCACACTGCATTCTCCTTCTGATTACACATCCTGCACTGCACACTGCATTCTCCTTCTGATT